AAAGAATGATGGTGAGGAAAAATTTATTTTTTAATGACGATAATTCTCACAATTATCTTTAATTTCTTTATAAAAAAACCTTTTCTTAGCAAAAAATTGTTACCGAAATACCGGAATAGTTTGTATTACTACTATTCATATTTTTTCTCATTGCATTCGATGTATATATACGATTTATATTCAGAAATAAAATTTACCTGTGTCAGTTGGGCTTGAAAATCAAAGAATCGACTGTTGTAAATTGCATTCGAGTGTATGTTTTTGTTCTTATCTGAAGGAATTCTTTTTTGCGATTTCATCTCGTCATCAAGTTTATATGGTTTCTGCTTTTCTAGTCTCTGACACTCAATAATTTCACGCGTGTTTTAGAATTTTCTAAAGAGTTGTAGTACTGAAATGCAAAGTATTCAGTTTTCCATTAATACACTTGCATAGCGGATAGACCAGATAAAGCCTTCATTTTTCAATAATAAATTACACCATCTGAGAACATCATAGGTCGTACTCCTTTATAGATATCTAACACGAGATATACATGTACATGTATTGGTGCGTCTTGCTATAATGATTCACTAAAGAGGGGTTTTCGCAACGGGGATGAGAGCTAGACTAATTATTTACGATCAAAGGGTTCTTTGGGTGTTCTAAAGGTTTCCCATGACGACTTGTACACAAAGCGCCTTCTCTTTACGATGGAGGGCGTTTGGGGGAATTGAATAGAATAAAATTACTCTTGTGACGAAAATCGAATCAATATAATAATAAAATCTTGTTTATTCAACAATAATCGCAAACATAACAGGACTTATTGATACGGCCTATTCAAAGAAAAACTCAATTCTAAAAGTCAATTTAACAGGGCTTATTGATACGGCCTGTCTAAGAAAACAAAATTAATTCTACAGGAGTTATTGATACGGCCTGTCAAAATAACAATTCAAAAGAAATCAACGGCTTATTTAGAGTGGAGGAGCATCCACTACTTGTAATTACTCACAAAATAAAATATTATTATTACTACAAATAAAAACTGTTATTTTATTAGATCAAAAACATGATCAAAGCATGTCATCTCAGAGAAATAATGCAATGAATGACATCAAAATTTATTAATTAAACAAAGTAGAATGCGGGTTTTTCTCTTTATATAAAGTTTTCAATTTTACTAATAAATATTTTTTATTTTTTACATTAAAATGAAGACAATATCACATATATTTTTGTCAGATTTTTTAGATTTAATCTGATAAAGCTGTTCTAATTGCATATAAAGTCAATTATTTTTTTTATAATTAAAACATATAAAAAATAATTGATTTTATATGCAATTAGAACAGCTTTATCAGATTAAATCTAAAAAATCTGAAAAAATATATGTGATATTGTCTTCATTTTAATGTAAAAAATAAAAAATATTTATTAGTAAAATTGAAAACTTTTATATAAAGAGAAAAACCCGCATTCTACTTTGTTTAATTAATAAATTTTGATGTCATTCATTGCATTATTTCTATTGCCACTGTAAGTAATTATATATACAATTTTGAATCACTACATTAATTCTATGGTTAGTATTTTACATTGATGATTTCTTTTAGAACAACCAAACAATAATCGTTTGATGTCTTTCAATTGTCCAGATAATTGTCGTCCTCTTGATAATCACTATCGTTACGTGTATTAATATTGAAGAACGATGGGATGTTCATGACACAAAATAAAAAGGGAATGCTCATTCATAACGAAATATTTCTAAACTTGGCTTTCAATATAAATTACACAAGAGACTAATTATGGAAGAATTATCATGTAGGTCGTTAGATATTCATGTGGAAATTATGGGTCAAAAATTATGGAATCAAAGGATTTAACGTTACTTCGGTAACAGTATATCAATGGGCATTTTCCTCGTATATAATCGCACCGAAATTATACGTAGCGATAGTATCTGCAGCTTTAGTATATGATTTTCCATTTAGCACCTCTGGACTAATACATACACGTATAAAGAAGAATGCCATGAATTTCTTGATCAGATCATTATATCAATAGGACCTGTAAGCCCAAAGTCAGCGATATAAGCATTAATATCTTGCCAGGATGAAAGTCATGATGTACAATTCAGAGATAATACATGTACTGTCTGATCTCTATATATTCACACTATCGGTAAAAAAAATAAAAAGATGATTATAAAGAGGTTATGATTATATAGAGGTTTTTTATATAGCATTATTAAGTATTTGTTCTAAAGGGATGTGACTATAAAAACCCTGTGATTATAGAGAGGTTTTTTTATATAGTAGTAATAGGTGTTGATTTTGTGAAAAGTGTGCTTATAAAGAGGTTTTTATATGATGTGACTATATAGACTGCATTTAATTTTTCTTCCTTCGCACGTACGTAGTCGGAATTATGTACGTACGTAATAGGTTTGCGAAGATCGCTATCTTTGCATAAGTCATTTGTAGCGGTAGCTGGAGTTTTTAGTAATTCATAATACTAGTACATTCTCTTCATCACTGCACTTAAGAGCAGTCAGGATCTATTTTCGAGAAACTTAATTTAGAAACAAAAAAGCAGACTTTGTTTTTGCCTCGCTTATAAACTCTGATGTAATTTGAATTGTGTCATGATTTCAACACGACTTCATCGTATTCATTTTTTCGCTTGAACTTATCTTTTTCATGATCCCACTTTATATCATGAATCTGTGTTTTATAATTGTTACAAATCCACCTCTTGCAAGACAAAATTCTTTTATTAGGCTGTCGATATATTTATTTTGGTTAGACCATTCAGCTGCATAAATTCTCATTTTTCTGACAATGAGCACGTCTAACTATGTGCATTGTGATCTGAACACTCAGCACAGTGGTGAAAACTCAAAACAATTATTGATCCAAATCGATAATCTATTGACATTAACGTTAACAAATGGATTTGTGGATATCCCTATTTCTTAACTAGCTAGTTTTTGGTTTGCAAGCATTTGATTTCTCTTAAAGATTCATCCATTTATTATTTTTAATCAAGATTACAAAAAAAACCACGGAGATTATAATAGTAATACCCCACAGTTTAAGAATAAACAAGCTTTTTTATTTACCAATTATAAAATATAAGAAATTTAACTTCTCTATATGCAGATAATGTAGCAAATATATTGAATAAAAAAAAACAAGTCGCAAAATTCTATCACATCTATCGTATACTGAAAAAGCTTGCGAATTGAACTTTTGCCTTGATTTACTCGAGTATAGCTCTCGCTATCGCTATGTGCAAATTTTACGTAATCATTTTCATTATTATTTCCTAATATATAATCTCATTTACAACCCGTGACTATAACGAGGTGCGACACTGTATCGGTATGTTCTTTTTAACTAATTAGTTTTAAGATATTAGCTTTTCTGCATTTACATTTACGTTTAATTTTTGTCGTTATCGTTAATGTTAACGTCAATCACCGACCTACGTAACTTTAAATTTCGACTTGCTGATCATGAATTCGGGTTATCATAGAATGAATGTGGAGAATCCGGGTCATGTTGATATGGTGGATTCGGTTGATATGGTGGATTCGGTTGATATGGTGAATTCGGTTGATATAGTGAACTCGGGTGATACAATGGTAAATTCGGATTTGGATGATACATGTATAATGGATTATATTGTTGATATAATGGATCAAATTGAATATGTTGACTAACAGGTGGGCTTGGATTCCGAATATGTTGACTAATATGTTGACTAACAGGTGTGCTTGGATTCGGAATTTGGGTTGGAAATCCTGTTGAAGTACGATTAATAGCAGGAACTGGCTCATTGTTCGAATGTGCAGAATATTCCGAAAGTCTTGGAGTCCGAATATGTTGACTAACAGGTGTGCTTGGATTCGTTGGAAATCCTGTTGAAGTACGGTTAATAGCAGGAACTGGCTCATTGTTCGAATGTGCAGAATATTCCGAAAGTCTTGCATTTTTAATAGATTTACGTCGACGCATAACGATAATAAATATCACAAAAGCCAAAGCAACAAGGCCACCACCGATTACACATCCAAGAATTAAAGTAACATTCTTTTTCTTTTGGTCATCAGTTGTTGAATTACCTGTTGAACCAGTAGGTAATGTTCTTACTTTGTAAGTAGGAACCCAGGTCAATGAGTCTAAATTTGTCACATCCATAACTTTTACTTCAGATGTAAAATTATAATCTCCGTAAACTCCTGCAAAACAAAAATTTAAGATAAATAAAATAAAAGTAATATGAAAGATAAAGAAACTAAAAAATTTACCAAAAGCTATAATCATATATCCATTATACATAACTGCAGTATGACTTCTTGTCACATTCATATAAGGTAAGCTAGGAACTGATTTCTGGGACCACGTCCAAGTTTTGGTATTCAATATCCACACCGAGTCAGAATCGGGAATTTTATCTTCTATAGGCTCGTAAATACCTCCATACATAATAATAGAAATGGAATCCGAGTCTTTTATGTCAAAAGAAAATCATATTAGTCATTGTTTATTCGTTTTTACTTTACACAGATAAAATTTTGAAATTTCATTACGAAGCAATGCTGAATGGAAAGCTCGATTTTTTATCTGCTTGTCACTTGTGGATTGCTAAATAAAATAAATTTTAATATACTAATACTACGTATATCGCACACGCATCGTTAAAATTATTAACTTACTTGTGTATTCCATTCAAGTTTGGTGGTATCAAATATTAATAACTGAATCATTAAGAACAAAATTAAAATAAATTCCAAGAATAAAAAAACAGTTTAATCACACATTACCGTTACCTCTAAAAAATTAACGTCTGGATATGGATTTTTACTAATTCCGCCAATAAAAATGATTCGACCATCATCTAATAATGTAGCCGAATAAGATGTTCTTGGATTCGGTGCATTATCAAAAATATAGCTTTTCCATTTATTCGCTTCAAGTACATACATCGTTTTATTATCTTGACCTTCATTACGCCCACCCCATACGAAAATTCTCGAACTATTATCGATAATTGGAAATATTGCATCTCGGGCACTTGGCCATGTTTCTCCTTGGTTTGGTGAAGATGATTTCCAATTAAAAAAAGTCTCATTGGCTGACTTTATATTGTATATTGTGTTTCCTTTGAGTAAAGACTTTGAATATAATAAACGATTATTAAATATTTTACTGCTGACTGGATAAAAATAATTCGAAGTTTACCGATTGTGATGCATCAGCTCCACCAAATATACGAATAGTATTATCTCTTTCATCTAGGCAAGCAGCAGTCCAGGTAAGTGACGGCATATCTTCGAGTCCAAAAACTTCAATGAAATTTGGATTGGTTGCTGTAAAGTCTGATGATAAATCCAATAGAAATGTATTGACTTTTTGAGGCGATGCTGTTCTACCACCGAAATAATAAATTATTTTTCCCACCAAAACTGCATTATTCCCATCGCGTGGAAGCAAATCAGCGCTAATTCCACCAATATTAAGAGCCATATTAGCGGAAACATCGGAGGGGGAAGGACCGGATCCTTTAGCGTTGCCAGAATTATTTGGATCACCGGGTGGAGTTAGATTTTTAGGGAATTCTGAGGGTAGGTTTGCTCGAGTAATATCAATTATTGGTAATGGTTTTGCTAAATTGCTGCCAATAAGTTTAATATCAGCACAATTTTGATAGAATTCACGATTTCCAAGAGCATTTATCCATGTCCAAGAGAAAAGACATTTTCCGGGATTATCGCATGGTGGAGCAGCATCCGGGATTTTTACTTTCCAATCAAAGAAGATATCTGGGCAAGTCTGATGATAAGTAGAAATAACTGTGTAAGTTTTACCCCCATCATAGGATAAAGAAAATTCGCAAAGTCCACCATTATGTCTTGCTTGATTAGCGCTTTCGGAACCTGGTTGTGGACCATCGGGAAGCGACGAAGTCCAGAATTTCACATTGATAACGTCACCAGCATAGAAAACTTGGGTGATGTTGGTGTCCATTGGATAACCACCACATGGAAAGGGCTTCCCTGTACAATTCGCAGATGGTGTTAATGGCGCAATCATACAGTCGTAATCTTTTACGGCAGCGTTAGGATTTCGTGGGTGTCCTCGTGGAAGTGGATAAATTATTGATGTGTGTGCTAACACAGCAGCGACACATGATGAGAATATTACGAATGTTGAAAAGAACTTCATTCTTATTGACAGTTGAAAGAAATAGTGTGTTCTTTGCTAAGATTTATACAGGTTTATATGTCCAATTAGAAAATATAGTGCAGCTTATTATGTCCAATTAGACACTTCTGACAACACTCGAACCCAAAATACATGTAGTAAAAACTGTTCTTTTTTGAAGCGATACTTTATTCAACCGCAATCACAATCACACATACATGTATGTACATGTTAATTGCATGCCATAAAAGGGGTATCCTTATCATTGTACGTACGGCCGTGTCATGTACACACAGAAACACAACATATATATGGAATTCTATAATACACACGTAGTGTGTACGTATAGTTTTTCTTTCAACACAATACATAACTTGAAATATCTTGTTTCTTTTTACCCACCGTTTCATTGGCTTTTTTAGGTAAATTTTTATAAAATAATTTTTTAACCGACATCATTAGTAGTAAATGTACTCGTTGTCAAGAGAATTGGTCCTGCTCTGCATATTTCAGTCATCACAAACGAACTTATGGTCTAGCGAAACAAAGATATCATAAAATGCTGTATTCTTGAGTGGATTCCTTTTCAAAACTTACCAAGTTGAATATCTTGCAAAAAGAGTATCAATTTATAAAACAACCTGCTTGGCGGACCATTACTAACCTTATGAGGTATGGAGAACGAGTGAACTCATTACACAATTCGGCAAAAATGAATTAATGTAACGGTAAATACCGATCGCGATACAACAATCCTGTTGTGATAAGATTTAATAAGATGAACGCTCATACGTACATGTCGAACATTTTTATTTGTTAAAATCGGTATGTTTTACAACATCTGAGCCAAATACGTAACTGCCTATCGCTATCGCTATCGACGAATATTTATATCGATCTTGAATAAATAAATTTTATAAAGTATACGAATAAAATAAATAAGTTTGATATGGATGGTAGAATAAAAGAGTGTTCATCTGATTGAAACTTCTCTCACATTGAACAACTTTTTCTAAAACAAAAATCTAATTTACAGTTCTCGACATATAATCTTACAAATATAATAACTTTTCGTTTTTTACTTAAAAAAAATTAATTCCAAAGATATGTTATGAAAAGCAATTTTATTATAAACTAACAGCGAGTTATTATAATAACTTAATCAAACTATTCAATCTAATAAAAATTTTTTCTTAATTTTAAAGAAGACGTTTCTTGTTAAACACAATAAAGCCAAAACTTTATACTATTTGTATCAAGTACACTGAAAATGTTCTGATATATATAGTCCAACCTTCATAAAAGTTAGCTCAAATTTTCACAGATATAAAGTCTGAATCTATGCTAGGAACATGAATTAATGCCTCTAGTATATATTTAATTTCAAAATCTTACATATCTATAAAAATTAAACTGATTTTTATGTAGGATCAATATCCAGTGAGTGATAGCATTTGAAGTTTTTATAAGTTTTATAGTTGTGCTCTAAAATTCTTAAGAAGCAATCTAATGGTAGTTGTTTCATCTCGATAGGAACGAAATATACGTACATATAGCATTTGAAATTTTATTAAATTTTCGGATCAGATCGGGTCGGGTCAACCGTCTAACCACGACCTGCATTTAGGTTGAATGATACTCATGATCGCTACTGTATATGCTTTATAGTTATTTTGAAAGGTGAATACTCAACTCTAAATAAATCATATCAAGACTCGCAAAGAGTTGAGTGTTAAGATAGAGTTACATGTGACCCAGAAACAAATGAATCGATTATTACAGTGCTCGTCAGAAGTAACGTACTCGTACCCCCCAAATAACTTTCCATAGATCATGTGTAATGTTCTGAAATTTTCCGAGCACAAAGAACATTACACATGCTGATCATGATACCTTTTATAGATTGGTAGAGCTTCTATATCGGGTATGTTTATAAACTTTCATGCCCCAAATACAATA